AGACCCACAAGCCTTGCTGAGTCCCATGCATGTCCCATGATCACTGAACCTCAGCTCCTTGCTGACCTGTGGCTCGCAGGCTGAGGAGGCCGAGATGCCAATTCAGCAGCTACACATGCACCAAGCACAGCCAGAGCCCTCTACACCCTGGGCAGCCGCTGCCCATCCACAGCATCTGCAGCATGAGCTGCTAACCCATTTCAGCACCGGTCCCAGCACTGGAGACGGGACCAGACCAGCGCTCGGAGGAGTGATGCTGGCTGCTCGCAAAGTGTATGATTAGGGAGGCACTGGGGTGCTTTATTTCAGCTCCTGCAGCACAGAGCAGGTTGCACTTCTGGCAGCAGGAGTGAAATGCTCTGGCATTAGGCTACCTGTTTGCAAGGGGGACCTTGACACTAATTTTGGTTGCGCTGGACGGCCCAAGGGAGCAAGATGCCCTCTGCGGGTGCTCTAGCTGCGGGGCTGTGCAGTGAGGAGCACACAAATGCAGGGCAGCTGCAGGGCTTGGGACATGCACTGGTCCCTTGGACACCTGTGCAGCAGCTTCGGCTCGTGCCTGATCCTGCCGTGGGCACAGGGACAGCCCCTGCAGGCCAGCTGAGCTCCTTCTGGCTGGTTTCCTGTCTCCCAAGTGGGGTGAGCAGGTACGAGCACTTTCCAGGCCGCTCTCCGCTCTATGACAGCTGCAGAGCCTGCTTCAGATGTGCAACCTGCTCATCACATGCGATGCAGCCCGGGGATGCAGGCAGGCCCGATGCCTTGGCCCACCGGCGGGGCTGTAGGGCCACCCACACCGCTGGGACCTGGCCGCTCTTGGCCTTGATGCACCTTGCCTAGATGGCATGGCCACATAGCATGGGGTAGCACTTGTGCCACCGATCCCTTGGGATGGCCACGGGCACAGCAGAAGCAGAAGTTCGGCAGGAGCATCAATCAGTGCCTAAAGCATCCTCAGAAAGCCACACGCAGGTGCTTCTGCACAGAAGCACGAGCCCGTTGCAAGAGAACGTCTCCGGCCTGCAGAGAGGCAGCCCTGCAACAGACATGCCGAGCGAAGCAGCTTTTCCCCGCGACCTTGGGCCAGTGCCGAGCCTCTCCGGGCTGCTTCAAGGGGCCCATCTCCTCCCACTGTTCCCAGCAGACGCTAAGTGACGCAGCACCCATAAAAAAACAGCTTTCGTTTTCCAACCTGAGCATCGCGGCACCTCCACCACGTGCTTTTTGGCCTCTTTCTGCTGGAGCAGTGGGAGCCAAGCAGCCCCAGCAGCAGTGTCAGCCCCGGCGGGTTCGAGAGGACACCTCTCATGGGGAGCGCTTGGCCCCCGTGCCAACCCACACGCCGGGCACCGCTGCGGCCCCGGAGCAGCGGATCAAAGGGCCGGGGCAGTTCTAGCTGCGCTCCAGACGCTCCCTCCCATTTCCTGCTGGATTCCCGTCTCGCTCCCTTTCCCCGCATCAGCAAAACAGAGTGTAAAAATAGAGGCCAGGCTTCACCAAAACACAATAGTAAATTGTTCCCCGGAAAGGTCACCGGGGCGTCTTAGAATAGCTCTGAGCGCCGGGAAAAATAAATATGTCGAGGGGAGAGGGGCTGGCAAGTGCCTGCCCGCACCCCACGATCGCCTGGCAGGGTCCCTCATCCCCGGCGAGAGCCCGGGCGTGATGCCCGCGGGTCCCCGCAGCCCCTCTCCGAGCATCTCCCCATGCCCACGGCTCTCCCCACCGCTCTGCCCTGCAGACTCTTGCAAACATCCCTGTCACCATGCAGCCCCAGGGTGCAAAAAAAAGAAAAAACAAGAATCAGGAAGAAAAGTTCTCCTTTTTCTCCTTCAAACTTCTGCTTTTCGGATGACTCCGTTAGCAATGGCGGGGCGAGGGGGATGGCTGTGGCCGGGGCTCATCTGGCACCGCGTCTGCCCCTGTGCTCCCCCGAGCCCCCGCGCCGGCTGCCACCTCGTCCCGGCAGTGGGAACGCGGCGCAGGGCCCGGCACAGCCCGGCCACCAGGGACAGGGACATATTGAGCAGCTCCAGTGAGCAATAAATTACTCGCCCCCGTGGCCAAGGGGCTGTCATGATGGAGAGGCAAAGTGTTCTCATCGCTGGCCACGGTGGGAACGTTTGGTCCTGGCTGTTCAATGCACAGATTTTAATTAAATAATGTGGGAATCCCCATGAAGAAGCAGCTCCTTGGGTTTTTTTTTCTTTTTCTTTCTTTTTTTTTTCAGACAGGGAGTGTCAGCGCAGTCTGCCCTATAACAACATAATTTTCCCAGAAAAACTGTAATTAAAAAGGGATAATGAGGCTTGAAAATGAAAAACCGACCACGTTTGGGGTGACTTTCTGTTTGTGGTTCTGGCTTCGTCCCTCCCACCTTCTCCTTTTTCTTTTTCTCTTTCTTTTTTTTTTAATTCATTTTATCTAAAGGCCACTTCCCCTCCTCTCTCGCTGCCCCATTTCATCCATACCGCAACCACCCAGTGAAAACACGGTACTCCGGGAGGCTTTCACAAAATGATGGGCTCTGTGGCAGGATATGACTGTTTTCCTTTCTGCAGCGCTAAGGGGGATTTTCTGTAACTCAGAGCTCAAACTCCGTCCCTCTGCTGCTAGAAATGCCAGAAATGTCAGTGGACAGAGAGCCTCTCACTGCACTTGCTGCAGGTTTTTGAGGAAACGTCTCTTTGCCAGAAAATTTCCCACAGTTTGAGAGAGGCCAAAATCTCCATTGCCTTTAAGAGCAGCATGTGCAACCGGTTTGGTTCATCCAGAACCAAAAGTGGGGGGAGATGAGCCCCAGCCTCGCCAGGGCCCCTTCCAGCAGCACAACCCCAACGTCCAGCAACCTCCACCCTCTTCATAATGGTCCTTTCTGTGTCCCTAACTCTGGGGCCTTAAGGTCCCGGTGCTTTCCCCCATGTTTTGTGTAAACATCTGAAAAAAAAATAAATCTGAATATCTGAATTCACAGACTTCAGATACATGGGCTAACGCAAGCAGCGCAGCTCAAGCAGGCGGCTCATGCGGTTAGTGGGTGAGCACAAGGCATTTTAGCAAACTGGCTTTGAAGGCCAGGCGGAGCTTTGCAAGGTCAAACCGTTGTTAAAATAAAATAAAATAAAATAAAATAAAATAAAATAAAATAAAATAAAATAAAATAAAATAAAATAAAATAAAATAAAAATGACTGGGCCTTCAACACTGTGCCCAGATCTCTTGTCCAGATCTCTTCCTGTCACCACGGCTGGCAGCTCCAGCCTGGCTGTTCTGCTGCACATGGCCCTTGTTATTCAAAAATACACATTGGGGGAGTGCTTTTAAACCCTCACCTTGACAGTTTTGCTTGCTGGGGAAAACAGCGTGCCGTTGGCAAAGCCAGTGCACCCGCTGAGGCCGTTTGTGCACCGGGAGGATCCGCGCGGAGCAGAGGGAGGTGGGCAGGGGAGATAACCCGCCGCGCTCCTGCTATCTGCTCATCCCGGGAGGCGGCGGGACGGGAGCGCGGCGCTCCGATAAGCACGGCCGGGCACTCACCGCCCTGCAGACGTTGCCTGAAAGCCAGCGGGCTCCCTCAATGTGTCCCCGTCTTGCACTGGGGACAAATTTTGCCCTGAAACCCTAGAAGCAAATGTTGGCTGCGGGGCTGTTAATGCTGCTGAGGTGAGTTTGCTTGTATAGAGGATGAGGTTTTGGGCTTGAAAAAAAGTGAGGGATGCCCTAGAATCCAAGCTGTAATAATAAATAAATAGATAATTAAATATAATTTAAAATATATAAATAATAATACATAAATAAAAGAAGCCTGTAGTGCTGCTGCCATTAAGCAGCCCGCTCTGTGTGTATGGCACAGGCTGTTATCAGGAGGACTGGGGTTATACACGAACATTTTCCAAGCCACCTGTAACGCACTTAGCAAATGTTTCAAGCTCAAGCGATTTTAAAGTTATTTGTCCCTATAGCTGCGATACAGACTGATATTTTACCAAGGCGTCGCTGTCATTGCCTGCTAACAGGGGGCTGAGCGCTGCCTGCCCGAACTCCTCTCACCCCTATCCCCATGTGGGGATAGCGGGAGGCTGAAGCGCGCAGGAAGCACGCGGGAGGCTCGGAGGCCGGGGGGATGGACGGCCCGAGCGGCGGGATTGCTTCACAGCTCTCCTTCCTTCCTGCCCCTCGCGCTCGCTTCCTCCCGCTTGTTCTCCAAAACCCGGCGCAGGGGCAAAACGCCCTGGACAAACTGGATGCTCGCGCTCCCAGCTCTCAGCCTGCACTGAGGCCAGGTCTCCTGTCCACACAAGGGACACAAGCACGGATGGACCAGCCTTCTCCTGCTGCTCTCTTGGGGGTAGTACAACCCAAAACACCTGGACATGGGCTATCCGACGGCTTCTGCCTCCAAAACACAGAGATGATAGACCAAGCAGCTAAACCATGAGACGGGAGAGTGGAAGAAAGCAAGTGGAGGCTGCTTTGTAAAACTTTATTAAGAAATATCCTTGATATATTCATTATATATATATATTTATATATACACACACATTACAACAAATGTGTTTTCTAAATAGCACATCCACAGTGGGTCAAGAATCAGGGTACCAGGTTTGGTTCCTTCCTTTCTGCAGAAAAAATGCAGAAATACGAGAGGAGGGTGAGGGGAAAAAAAGGACAGGGCTGGAAAAATCGGGGGAAAAATAATCGTCAGAAGAGAACTCAATCACACGGTACGACATGGACCGAAAGTGCCGCTTCGAAGAGAACCAGGCTGATGTTCCACACACCGAGACGTACAGCAGGCAGGAGGAAAGATGGACGGAGAGAATGTACCATTCAAATCACAACTAAAGTACAACTATACATATCCCAGGGAGGCCTACGGTGTGCCCGGCTGAGAGACTGCAGGGTGTGTGTGTGTGCGGGTGTTCGTGTGCATGTTGGGAAGGTTGTACCATTTTGTTAACTTCTCGGCTACCAAAAAAGAAAAATAAAGAATAAGTGGGGAATGAGGAATTTGTGAGCATCGGTGATTTTCCTTGCAGCAGTTTCCCCATAGGGTGTTCAAAACGTAGCAGCCGCTTTATTTGTGTGATGGTGGCTCTCACGCTCACCAGGAGGGCTGCTGCTTGTGTGTGGTGTGTGAGGGGACCCTCAGCTGCCACCCAGGCTGGTGGTCACCAGGCTCCTGCCCCCTCAAGCCCCCTGCCCTCCTCTGCTGCCCCTCAGACCCAGGTGAGCAGCCCAAAACACAGCGCCGGCAGCAATCGCTTCTCTTCCTCAGCCACCCCAGGCACCTCTGCCCTTGCCCAGCCCCACCAGGTAACCCCTCTTATGAAAAGTCTCCATGCAAAGCCAGTCTTGGCCTGGGAAAGGGTTGGGTTTTTTTCCTCCTTTTCCCCAAACTCAGGATCAGTGAAGCTTCCCAGCTTCTAGTTTCCAAGGATACATGCCCGGATGCTCCTCAGGCAATAGCTTCTGCTCAGCACACCCTGCTGAGACACACCAGCCTCACACATACTATTTACAAAGACGGGGAAAAAGAGCTAAAAACAATGGATCGAAATAACTAAATTCCAAAGTGAGCCTGGATCTAACTTGCAAATCGCAGGGCCTGAGTCCTCACACGCACACACACATGAATCCTCTGCGTTTCCTTGTATCTCAGCATCCCCGAGAAGGAATTAGCACAACGGGAAGCATCCTTGCTCTGACACTCTCAGTATTTTCCCTTATAAAGGATGGGGTTTTTTATTTTTTATTTTTTCCTGGGCACAGGGGAAGGCCTCAGCTCATGCTGATCAGTGTCATCCTTGCAGTCAGAGGAAGAGCACCGATTTCTAGGGGCTCAGGAAACTGCCTCCTGCTTTTGAACTGCTTTGCTTCTCCAATGTCCTTTCTGGAGGGCAGCATCAGGTTGGAAATTTATTCCCATTTTAGCATGGTCAACTTGATTATGACCATTGATTTCAAAGAGATCTAAACTCTTGGGAATGGAGGGTCATCCCCTCGGTGCTATGATCATGTCACCCCAAGATTTCGAGAGGCTGTGGCCTCCTACCAGCCTTGAGCAGACAAGGATCCTACCGATGCCTTATTTTGAATCCAGGGCCCGAAACCCAGCCTGTGAGGATTGGTAGAGGTGACCAATCACCATTTCACACACCAAAACCAAATATAAAATCATACTATTTAAACCCTTTTATAACCCTATGTACACACACATCGTTACACCATTGATTTCATCTTTTGTCACTTTTTTAATTAAAAAAAAAAAAAAAAAGAGCCCCCAGGTCCAAGGAAAGCTTCACTAGCAATTTTTTTTTCTTTCCAATTCTGAAATTCGTCTTCCTTGAAAGAAGCTCTGGCCCTACAGAAGCCCCGGGGAAAGCTCAAGGCTACAGGCCTTGGGTCTCGCCTATCGAGCATTATCAGCGCAATGATCAGGACTCGAAGGCAATGGGGAGCAGAAAACACCTATGTACCTTTTCGTTCAGTGGATACTGCATGACGGTATTAAGCAGACGTAATCCTATGTCATAAATATAACATCCCAAACAATCCAGAGTTAGGTTTAAGGAAAAAAAAAGAAAAAAAGAAAAAAAGAAAAAGTCTTAATCCTTTTAATAGTTCTTTGCTGAGGGCATTTTTCACCTCTTTAGAAAGGTACAGTCAAAAGCTCTCAGGCAACAAGAACACGCTGCCACAGCTTCTGCTCAGACAAGTTGCATATACTTCTTTGCCACAGGCTGGAGAAATGCTCTAGCACTGTCAGATCTCAGCAGTCTGCAGTGCCACATGCCATTGGAAAGCATCGGTGGCCTCAGCGGGCAGTGAAAGAGGAGTGAATGAGTTATGTGTCTCAGATGGGTGACTATTCTGCCTTAAAAAGTGACAATTGTCAAATGGTCTGAAAACCCTCTAAATGCTGGAGAGGTATTGGCCAGGTTTTGTTCCCCTCCACAGAGTCATATTACGAGCAATATGTACAATGAAGATGACTTCAATGCTTTTCTTCTTTGTACGATCACGTACCTAAATGTTGAACGTCGATCTGTTTTGGTCTTGTTCTCAGCTAGCTCGCTGTCCTCTCCGTCCTGGGGCTGTGAGAACTCAGAGTCCAAGTCCCTGGGGCCTTCTGTAAATGTAGAGTCAGAAATTCCAAGGGTACAAATTCCAGTAGGTCTTCCTTTCCCCTTCGTGCTTCAGGAGCAGTGTGGAAGGTCATCATCGCTGCGCGTTGCCTTCTACAGGAAGAATAGAGTGATGCAGGTTCCGTGTGTGCTTTGAATCTAGTGTTTCGTGTTCTTCTGTGAAGCTGTCTGGGCTTGCTGCTCCATCTAAAGAACTTCCACAGCTAGAGTTAGGAGACAACATGTCCTGCAGGAGGTCTTCCTGGACTATCCCAGAGTCTTTGTTCACCTTGCCCCTTTGGTTTCCCTCTTCCTCCTGGTCATTGAGCAGCTTGGCCAGGAAGTTGATGTATTTCATAGCCAGGCGTAAAATCTCATTCTTGCTCAGTTTTTTGTCGGGTGGGTGAGTTGGGATGAGCTTGCGAAGCTCTGCAAAGGCTCCATTGACATTCTGCTGTCTCCACCTCTCTCGGCTATTGGTAAAAATGCGTCGAACCACTTTTGTATGAGGACCTGCAATTGCAATGGCACAGAATTAGAAGCAGCACTTTACAGGCTGTTTACTACTGCACTGAACAGGATAAATTTTCCCAGTTTAACTGATTTATTTTAGTCACCTAATTTATCATCAAACAGTGAAATAGGAGTTCAGAGCTAACTGGATGCTGACCTGAAGAGCTGAGATATCCATAGCTTCTGATCAATCCAATGGGAGTGAAAATTTGGCTTCTGTTTTTATAGGTATCTGTTGAAATGCCTAAATTTAGCTCTTTAAGGAGGAAGGCTCAGGCCATGGCGCACAAGCTAAAGTTCAGGTAAGACTAGATGTACCCCCATGACATATCTATTCTCTTTGCAGAGTGTCGGAGTATCTCCTGTTGTCACAGGTGAGACAATGACTAGGAGGGACATCTACCCATGAGCACTGTCCTAAGGACTCAGCAAGGCTGTAAATCACTATCAGGACTGCAGATCCTTAGGACCATGGAAACCAGTTTATGTAAGAAGACTCTACCATGAGTACTTTTTACTGTGTCCTTTCTACCCTTGCCTCCATGAGGCTCTAAAAGCAGAAGGACACAGTCATTTCATGAAAGTGTCAAAGATCAACCACAACAGAACCCTCTAAGATGGGAAGTATCACACACAATGAAAAAAACCACAAAATATAAAGCAAAAACATTTGAATAAAATATCAGCGAGTCAGACACCAAAGGATAGGCTGGGATATTCCCACTCACATGTCATCCCTCCCCTGATGTCCAACCTCTGAAACGTTTGCCTAACTGATCCATCCTGGTCCAAGTAACACCTTGACTCTGCTTAGTTGTTTAAGCTGACAGCTATGCCCTCACCCAGCAACCAAAGGGGCAGGATGTGCAGAGAGGTGTCACCATAGCATCTCCACAAGATGCTTTTCTGCTCTGGGAATCTTCCCTGCCCTCTCACCTATGGGGGGGAAAAAAAAAAAAAAAAACAGCCAAAGAAGTGTAAAATGGAGAGGTCTGAGATCTCCCCAGGTCCCTGCCCTGCAGGACAGGATCTTAGGGGACAGGCTGCATCCACCTGACCCTAACAGAGGATCCTGCTCACTGCTCAGAGGAGAGGAAGAAGCCCAGATATCTGTCAAGGCACAGGAGAAAACATGTCCTTTCTGCCCCCAAAAGCCGTAGTAAGTTCAAACCTGCTTGTAACAACAAGAACTGCCATAAAACAAAGTGAATGAAAAGTAGAAGCTGACAACTTTCCTCTTTCCCCTGCTTTCTTGCAGGATGTTTGAGGGCTTCCTGGGCTGCTGACAGCCGAGTGCTCAGCAAGAGTCTCCCCAGATGTTTGGGTGGAGAAGGACCTTCAATAAGGACCCAGATAAGCCAGGGGATGCCAATACAAGCAATTCATCTCATGCCTCCCAGATCCAGATCTAGTGCTCTATTAACGCCAACGCTGCACCCTCACATAGCCTGGCATTGCCCTTTGAGGTAACTAGCGTGCCAGGGCTCGGGGAAAGGGAATGTCTCTCGCTCTGAACTTGCACAAGTGGCTCTGCCCTGGGGCAAGGCACTGGGCAGCAACGGGCATGGGCAGGGGCAGCCCAGCACCCTTAGAAAACACGGTACCATCTGCTGCAATAACACAAGGGTTTCAACACTTACACCCTCCTTCTAGCTAAAAGAGAAGTCACTCTTGAATCTAGAGGGAGAGGTAGTTCAAGGGAGAAGAAGTTTAAATCTTTTTAACCTTTTACCTTTTTTTTCCTCTTTTTTTAAGAAAGTTTGAGAAAAAAAAAAGCTTAAGATATTGTTAGTTTTTCAAAAAAATCGCAAAGCACCAGTCTTCCCAGGCACAAACTATATACTTTGTTCATCAGAAATTAATGACTAAAAGGCATTTATTTGTAAATTTTGAAATCAGAAGACTAACCTGTCTCTTTTTATCTGAGGGAACCTGTAATGCAGACACAGACTTCGACACTACTGAATTTTTTGATTCCTGCATCAAAGCCAGTAACTGAATTAAAATATCTCTTTTAGACAGAGATGAGTGTCTAACCAAAATATTTCAAGCAATGGAGAAATTTGAAACACTTCATAGCTTATCGGTGTTATAACAGAAGACTTTTTTTTTTTCCTCATAATGAAACTTGCTTCATAATTAATCTAAGCAAATGGCTGAAAAAAAAAAAGTCTGGATTTTTTTCTGGCTGATTGATGCTTTTTTAAATTGTAAATAAAGATCCAAGGAAAGCTGGTAAAAAGGTGAGATTCCAAACTTAATGAATATTTTTGCAGGTCCTTTTCTCTATTATTGTGAGTTTATGCAATTCTATTTTGTAAACCTATTCCACGGACCAATTTTTTTTTTCCACAAAAAGCTAAACAACAGTTGCCCAAACTATCACTCTTTTCCTTGCAGTTTTGAGCCTGGCTTCGGGACTCCTTCTCATTAGTGGGGGAGTTCCAGGATTTTTCCCACTTTAGCCCCTTTGCCCAAAGATTCTGGTGCTGTTTCTCCTAACGCAGTGAGGGAGGAGAGGCAGGGAAAGCAGCCCTGGTGCCAGCAGGGTCCCCAGCATGCGGCAGGCGTGACGATACTGGCGACATGTGGGGACATTGCCAGACCACCAGCAGGTCCCTGAGCTCCTGCTCCTTTCCTGGCAGAGGCAGCGGGTGGCCCATGGGGGCACAATGTCCCCTGCAGCACCAAGCCCAGGGAGCACCAAGGAGCTGCAGCAAGACGTGGGCAGCACCATCCACTCTGAAAAACACTCCTGCCCTCCTGCATCTCTGGAGCACTAAGACGTGGAGCAGAGCCGCAGAGCGCTGGAGCAGCCCGAAGGGATGCCTCAGCATGGGATACACTTCCCTCCCCACTGCGCTTTTTCAGGAGGCGTCACCTATATCCTCTCCCCCAAAACTCTTATCCAGTCTTGGGAGCTCCCATGACCCAGGGGCTGCAGGATCAAGCCCACTCTACACACCTGATCTGTTCCCTGGCCAGCACATTTCCAGACACCTGCCTGACAATTTACTTACACAGCTTCTCTGTAGCCCTTAACACCTAACTTAATAGTAGGTAAGTCTAAAGCTTTACTCAGACCGTGATTTTGTGGACACTGCTGTTCTCTGGTTTCACAGCTTTAACTGTAACCATTAAATACGCGGATCCAGCCCAAGATAAGATGAGCTGATTGCACTACGTGCTGCACTTTCACCGCTGCCCCGTGGTCTAAATAGAATAGACAGGAGAAAGTGGGAGCAGAAAGACTGATATACACAGAAAATGAAACGAGTTCATCATTTCATATTTTCAAAAGATGTTGATTATGATTCGATTTAATTCCAGATTAACTAGGTAGAATGAAAAAGACTGTAAAAAGAAAGAAGGAATTTCAAGCTCTCGGTGACTGAAATACATCGCTTGAAATTGCTAAAGAGAAAATGCTTCAATGATCTAATTTGTGCGGGCTGCCAAGGCTGCACATAAACGTGTCGTTCTTCCACGTGCAAATTAATCTTGGAAACAGCCCTTTGCACGTGCGGCGTTTCCTCCTGTCCGGAGCCGCTTGCAAACACAGGCAGGGGTTTGCAAGGGCAGCGGGATCCTATCCTGCCTTCCCACTGCCTCCTTTCCATGGCAATCCGCTCAGCCTGCGGACAGGGATCCCCATCTCGGGCTCTCCGCTCATCTCCAGCCTCTGTTCGCGGGTTCCGACTCAAACCTGGCACCCGCACAAGCAGTTTCTGCAGCGCGGCGCAGGTTAGACCGACACAAGGTTCAGGTGGGCTAGCAAAGGTACCGGCCGCAATCCGGATTGGGCCCCACGGAACTGAGCACGGTCTTATTCTGCCGCTTTTAAACAATTTAGAGGCAGTTGGGACCTTCCCGCCCAAGGCTGCGGTCTGCGCCGTGGAAGTCCCTCGGCTGAGAGGCTTTGCGGACGCAGCACGATGGCCCGGCTCCAGCCTTCGCACTCCAGCAAAGACTTAAATTTAGTGGCTCCTCTGGATTTAAACACGAAACAATTTGCAGAACAGGGAGGTAATTACCCGTGCGCTGCCCTGCTTGGCTGGGCAGCCCTAACGGGAGCGGGGAGAGCTCCCATGCCACGGCCAGGACCTTCTGCTCCCGTGAAGATTTGGGGACACTGCGCAGCAATTTATCCCCTTCAACCTGCAACCAACAACCACCCGCGCCCCGGAGGCAGCGCCCGCGGGCCGAGAGCTCTCACCGTCCGTGATCTCCATCTCGTACGGGGACGGTCTCCTCTTGACGCGGTTGCCGCCGTACATGGAGAAGGAGTCGGGCTCCCCGAAGAAACCGCTGTGGGCGAGAAGGGGAGGGCGGTGAGGGCAGCCCCGACGGCAGCGCCCGCGCACGGGGGAACAGCGGCCCCCGCGCTGCTCCGCGGGCGCCGATTGTGCCAATATTATACCGAGATCAAGCTGCCCCCGACGAGCATCACCTTTACTCCAAGCCCCTCTCCCTTCCCGCGCTACGTTTCTATAGGGGACCGCGATATAAAAGTGGAATATCTGGGGGTTTTCTCGTCTAGAAAGGACGGCTCCTCGTCGGGATTGGGGAGTTTTGTTCCCCTTCCCCTTCGGGAAGTTAGCAGCATGCAGCCCCGCGCTGCAGCACGCGGAGCGCCGCGCAGGGAAAGGATCCCCCTCCCAACCCCGGGGGCAGCGGGCGCGGGGCCCGGGCGCAGGGACACGGACCTGTTGATGGTGGCGAGCGGCTGGGCCAGGGTGTAGAGCATGGGCCCGCCGGGGGGGGGG